AATCCGTGCCGGCAAGGAAGAACTCGTCGCTAGGCGATTCGTTTTCATTTCAACGACGTTACGAAATTTCGCCGACCTTGGCGCATTAAACGCCCTCGCATCTGCCGCGGGCTGTTAAATCCGTTTCCCGAGTGAACCGGTCTCGCGAATCGCGGCAAAGAGTAAAAGGGCAATCGTGGAAAGAAACGAACAGGAGTAATCGAGTGCACCAGCTCGAAACTGTTTCGGACCCGCAGGAGTACTTTTGTCTCCGGAAGTGGACGGGCCGAGGGACGATATTGGTTCCTACGGCGTTATTTATCCCCCTCTCGTGTCGCACCACGTGGCGGTGACGTTTTACAATAAGCGTCCGACGAGACGTGGTCTGCGACTACTGAATTCCAACCGAGAGCTGACCGCATGTCGGGACACCCTACTTCCAACTACGGGACATACTACCGGGATATACCGCCTCGACGAAACCCGATCGATAGGTCTCGAACTATCGAGACCTTTTCTTTGCGATGAACGGCACCTTCGGCATAACGTCCCACCTCTCATGCCGCGGACCATCCGAAAGTCTTCCTAAAAAATCCACGCTCGTCCCCCGCGTTCAAACGATCCCGTGCCCTTATTCCGCGCAAATAAAAATATTTTTAACGACGAGAAAAAAAAATTTTAATTCCCCAAGAACCGGCATCAGGCTGGATCCTGGGTACTGGGTGGAAATTCCTCAATGCCGAGCGCTTCTCGCTCGGCGCAATCTTGAAGAGGAAGTAAAGGTTGCCGAAGAAGCGCAGGAATGGACGTAAACGCTTTCGAGCCGGTTAAAAAAGTTGAGGCAAGAAGCCTCGAGGGAAGCCCAGGTAAGAGTCAAGCAGGGAACGAGAGACAAAGGGGAAGGAAACAGGGGGCGGCGATGAGCGCGACGGAGAGGGAGGACGAAAATCGGGGGGAGGGAGAGAGGTCGATGCACAGGTGACTGCAACGCCTGAGCAAAGGAGCCTCTCCTCTCCCTCCTTCTCTCTCTCTCCAAACGGAATACGATATATCGACTCGGCTTTGAGAGTGGAACCTTTCGAAGCTCCCACGGCGCGAGAGAATGGCTGAAGAAGAGAGACGGAGAGAAGACCCGAGGACAAGGAGTTAGGAAGGAAATAACGGGTTCGTTTAACCATTCGCTAGGAGGAATCCTGCGGGACGAATTCGCATAACGAGCGTTCCATACGCGAGGAATGTAATTGCAGCCACTTGGTTCGTCCCTCTCTCGGTTTTCCCCCGGTATCCGTCTCTATCTCTCTTTTCCTCTCGCCGCATCCTGTGGCTTATTTTTCCTGCTTCCCTCTCGCGCCTCCGAGCGGGAGGAACGAGGATTACTTCTGCAGGTCCCCGAGAAGCGACGAACACTTTTTCCCGTCGGGAAGCATAAGAGCTTTCCGATTGAATACGACCAGTCCGTGCTCTCGCCGAGAGAAAATTTATGGCGCGAATTTTGGGGAAATCGAAGAAACGGATTAAGTCGAATGCATCGGACACCCCGAGGAAATAGCAATCGGACGGAGATGAATCTTTAGGGATCCGTCATATTTTTTTTTTAAGTGGGTAAAAAAAATGAGGGGGGAACGGAATTGAAATTTGTGCTTTGCATTAATCGCTTAAATTACTTGCGTCGTGGCAAGGTAAATAAAAATGTTTCACAAGAATTTCCCGTTCCTGATTCCAATCCAATTTCAGCGGGAGATTTTTCGTACAAATTCTCGGCCCATTGTGCCATTCTGTACACGTAACGCGTATTCATACGTGTTCATATTTGTCCCTCCGTGTGACGCGATCATCCATTGTCTACTTCCGCATCGCAGGACGGGAAAATACAATGGCTCTTATTCCGTTATAACTTTGTTATTTCTGTAATCCAATTCCTTTGCGGAGCTGTAATACAACCGCGGAAGGAAAGGTAATCAACCAATTAATTTGCTTTTCCTTTGCAGGAAATCTTATGATTCGCGTTTTCTTTTCCCTACCCCTTGGTTTCCGCTGAAGCTCCGCTTCCCGTTCCTCTGTTACGAAAACGTTTAAGTGGCAATAATGGCCCGACGTGTGCTATTTCATGTCTTGAATAGATTAAAGGAAACCGAGAGAAAGATTACTTCCGCGAAGGGACGTCTTTACGAAAAAGTAGACATAAAAGACAGTTAAACGATTCCTTCCTCCCTCAGTTTTTATTTATTTCAGCACCTCGGGTTTCGTTCATTTTTAAACGTTACCGGTATGGGTCCATCCACCGAGCAGCCGAGATGGAAAATAAGTCGGTCGATTAATTTACTTCTTCTTTCCCGTACATTGTATAAAGTCGATTGCAAAGCTTTCCTCCGTCCCTACTATACAAGCTCGGCCGACTTAAACGAGTTAGCATCTTGGCCCAAATTATTTACCATCCTGAGTCTCAACCAGGTAAATTACAAAAATGCCCCAGAGAACGAACATTTGCCCTCGGTGTAACGACACGGCGAAACGCGAACCCGTTACTATCTAATGACTGTTCGTATCCAGTACAAAAAATACGACGCTGGTTACCAAAGTACTCGAGCAAGGAGTAACGACTCTATCGAACATCACCGCCAACTCGATCAGTTCTAGACGATAAATTCGATCGCCAATAAATTCCCTTTATATTCCTCTACGGTCTGCTACGAGGGAAAAATCGACCTCCAACAGCCTCTTGTAAACCCATTTTTTATTTAATTCCCCATACATGGAAAACAGTCAACTAATTCCAAGTTCATAAATTATAAAAAAAAGACCACTCGTTCCATAGATGAAAAATACTATTCAGAATTTCATAGAAAGCAATTAACGTTGTTTCAGATCGTTCTTGGAGTGGTTATCTTCAAACCTTCGAAATTCAAGGCAAAGCCCCTCTTAATCCGTGAACTGCCGGAGCAGCGTTTCGTTTCCGTTTAAAGTTTCAGTTACATTTACATGCAAGCCTAGCGGTAGGAGATTCGGTCGATGGTCGAGGAGGTCCGAATTAAAAACTAAATTAAATTCGAAGCGGAAGGTAGCACCCCCTCTTAGAATTGGTGGAAATTCCGCGGGATTCAAACGGGCCTAAATTTTTGACCAGCTCGCCGCAGACCTCGTATGTGGACTCTCCGATTGAACGAACTCGAACTCGAGGTTGCGTGAAATTTTAAGCAGAATGCGGTCGGTACTCGGTCACCGGCGTGCATATAAATTCATATGTTAAACCTCTACACGGGCAAGACCCTTTAAGCGACCGCGTAATAATTTTGAGGGCCGGAGACGAGAATTTTCCCGATTCACGATGTTTCCTCGTTCCCCGCAGAAAATCATCCTTAATTAACCACCGCGCTGCAATTAAAAATGTCATAACCCGGCTGCTAAATAGCCAACGTCAACTTTCACAGTTTCAACGTATCCGCTTCATTCGCAACGTACATCGTAATCCCGAAAGTACTCCCGTCATTCAGTGGATAAAAATATGAAACTTTTTTTTTTTTATGCATAAATCTTTTTCTTAATTTTTTTCCTAAACAATCTAGAGGGGTTTCCACCAAACCGCACTTACTTCCGAGAACGAGTGTATTAAACCACCGCGGTCGCAAGACGCGCACATGCGAACATGCGCGAGTGAGAATGTGTGCGCACGTTATACAGTCCGCTGAATTTCCTTACCGGAAGCTGAGCTTCACGGGGTGCTTCCGTAAATCAAATCGGTAAATCAAGCGAGGCAACCTCCCCGAACCTCTTATTATCTCTTTCGAGTTAACGATCGCGCGGTTATTCTCCTTTTCTCCCGAACCTCCTACGCTTTTACTTTCCACGGAGCCGCAATTGCGACACGGCCAAAAAGGGTCATGAAAGTCATAAAATTAACGCCCCCACTATGCTATATTTATCTTGTCAGGAGGATACTACCGTGTAAAAATAATGACAAAAGAAAAACAATGTTATCCCGGATAATTCGAGTCATGCTTTAGGAGGGCAAATTAATGGGGAAAGAGAAACTCTTTCCGAACGTCCGTAATTTTCCCTTTGTGGCCGGTGTGGACGAATATTGACGTTGTTAAAATACCAGGTTCTCGTGATGGGGTAAAACCTACAATAATGAGCGCCTTAACGAAACGTTTCGTTATCGGTGTATGGACTCGTTCCAACTGGTGGTCTCTTCGCTAAATAATACACATTGGTGCCGCGATACTAATAATGGCACGTCACGCCGTGTTTACCATAATTTAGTTGTTACCAATGACCCCACCGTATCCTTGGCACTTAAAACTGAAAAGTAAATATATTTCGCGGAAACTGAAAGTGACGCAACCGGGTATCGTCGCTTTAAGACTGGAAATCGAATAATCGGTCGAAGCTAGTCGGAATAACGAGTATAATATTTTACAGAGGACTCGGAATAAGTTCCTCGGAATTTCCCTTACAATCTACATTAATTTCCTGCGTTCGCTACTTCCATCCTCAGTTTCTTTAATACCGGAATTTTATTCTAATTCAGTTCAAGCCGTGGATTCCCTATCGTTTCCACTTTAAATTACTCCAACAAGATCTCCTTTCGTTTCCACCCTCAAACCCCCCAGAAAAATGATCCAACCATCGAACCATCTCGTATTTTGTCTAATTTTACAAATCTTATTTTTTTATATCGCGGAAGAAGATTCTCATCCGAGTCAATGTAATGAGGAATTATAAGGTACAATTAAGGTCGGTGGTCATCGGTACCGTTCCAAACGAAAAATTAATAAAAAAAAAATAAATAAACCAATGAAAATTCAGTTTCGTCTTCCTGCAAGTCGCGACTCGCTCGGAACTCGAGAGTCAGATCATTTCGCAAAACGAACGGTGATGCATCCCGGACGAGGCGCGCTTCTTATTTCCACCGAATCGAAATTCACGGGGATCGGGGAGGGGCCCGACCGCGTTTTCGAAATTGGAAGCGCGATTCGATTCCGACGAGTAATCGTGCATAGTAGAGATAGAGTTTCACTCACCGCTTCTCCCGGTCGGCGTGGGTGCGGAGGGCGCCCGGCTAGTCGGCTCCGGAATCGGGTAGATCGGGTCGCAGCACTCTCGTTCGGGGAACTCGCTGGCGGTTGCGAGGCCGGCTAATAGGAGAGCCGACAACGCCGCGAGCGCCCAGCGGCGGCCGATCGCCATGTCGCGGCCGACTGTCCTTCAGGCGTTGCCGATCCCGCCACTAGATGGTGCGCGCGCGCTCGGCGGCGTCGCGCTCGCGTCGCCGCGGCGCGCCCGCATGGCGCCACGCCGGTTCGAAAATCGCGCTGATTTCGAGGGGTCGCCGCGACCGCGCGGCACCGAGGCGCGGAACGGGAGGCACTCGCGAGGGGGAGCACTGGTCGCGCGGACTCGCGAGCGGAGCGCGTCGAGCGCCACGGAGCACCGCCGAGAGACCCGCGCGCTACGGCGGCTCAACGCGTAGTGAGGCAGGGGTCGGAACTTCGCGGCCTCGACTGGCGGAAGTCGACGAAATGCCGCGACCCGCCCCCGGCGCGGCGGCGCACCGGCGCGCGGCCCTCTACCTGACCCGGCCGCGACCCCGCGACCTGCGAGCGGCTAACCTACTACTCCAGGTAGGACAGGTAGCGAAAGGGAACCGCCAAATTTACCCCCGATTCCAGCTTCCCAGGCCTCGAGCGAATACCCGCGGGACCGTATTTATCAATCGGCACGTTTCGATACGGAATTCTCGGTTATTCGAACGTTCCAGATTTTCATGAAATTGAACAAAAAGCGACGGTGACGACCCCGAGGACCAGGGTTCTACCCTACCCTCGGGAATCTCTAGAATGTCCTTAAAATATGGCGATATTTATTCTAAATATAAGTTGAACAAACAAATTAATGCTGGAATATAGGTTAATGTGGAAAAAGGTGGACACTCCGGTCGAATCATCCCCGGAGGACGTCGCTTATATATTCGCGATATCGTAATTCCTCCCGTGCATACAAGGGACTAATACCGTTTCCCTCGCCGGCGGACGATTTATTCTCCCAAAGGTCAGAGTTGACGCGCACTTCATCGGGATATCGTGACGTTCCAAAGAGGACGAAGAGCAGAAGGCTCGGAATTCTAGGTTAGATTCTCGAAACGTAAGTGAGGGGCATCCAGTTAGCATCGTTGAAAAGGTCCGAGGTTCAAGAGGCCTCCTATAATAACTCGCCAGGAACTCGCGAGACATCGACCAATGAGATTCTTCGACTCGAAGGAGCTCATCGGTTTCCTCGACTTTGACCTTGAACTACAAGGAATTTGGCAATCCAAGCGCCCCTGTTCGAATCTATTTTTGGACGGGAAAGTAGGTGAAAAAATATCTAACGAAGGAAATGAAATCAAGATTGCGATGCAGGTCGAGGAATCTATACGATCGAAGCGGTCAATCGTTCCGATGACTTTCCGTTATTTTATCTTAAATTTACATGCAACCGATAATTATTTTGGATTTCCGGTTTCCGGTCATCGGTGGCCCCCGTGGCGTTCGACGTGTTAATGTACACCAGGAATCCTCGGGGGTATCTCGGAGAATACACCTACAACATGGATAACCATACCTATTCCGTATTTACAGTTCCCGGTTTACCTCTATAATTGAACAACCCTATTATTCATGACGTGTACATAAATAATATTTGTTTAATCTCATTGATCTCTCTCTGCCCTGACAGATCAACAGCGAATTCTTCGGTAATTTTCGATAAAACGGTTGAAGCTCGTAGGCGGAAATTAAACATAACAAATTTTGTCATTTTTGAACAATCGAAAAACAACGTTAAGCGGTATCGGATAGCACGCGAGATCGGTACGTGTATTTATTTATTTTTTTTTAGTATTAACTACGGTTGAGAGTATCTTTTATTTTAAAAATACTTACCTTTTGTTGTTAATTTCACGTGCCGCCATCTTCGGATTAATGGATGAACGGAAATATTTACTGATAAGATAATGCAAAAGATGATAACTGTTATCCAATTTTCATTGTTAACTTAGTTCCTTATCATCGGAGCGAAAATTCCTAGCATTACCGATGATTTATCGACGGTGTAACGAGACTTGCAGTTATTCCCAATATTTATTTTTTATTACGTGCCAGTACCTACAGTTGGTAACGTAGATACTAAATAACTGGGTGTTGTAATTTAAGACAAACGAGGGTGTAAGGTGATCGAGTGATCGGCAGCAAAGAAATTCCAAAAATATTTTTTTAACGATGCAGAAAGTCGATTCGCCTGAAATCTTTTCATGCCTTCGGAATTGGGGAAGAGGAAATAACGAACAACATGGCAATTATAAGTAAAACATTTTAATCATATGCAAATATAAATGGTTTTACAAGGTGGTACTACCAAGTAAACGATATAATATGAGGATGACCGTTGCGCAACCAAGCAAGTAAACATTCGCCTTTCCACACGGACAATTCCGTGAATGCCAATGACCAATCGCCGTACCATTATAAAAAAACCCAGTTTTCAGTTTTTCCGTCCCGACCGACCTTACGAACTGTTTCTCGCATTCATGAAATTAAAAAACACAGTCGAGTATTATCACATGGAAAAAAAAAGAACAAATTCGAATCCGTTCGCGATTTTCTTTTTTCTTTTCACACGCATGCAAAATCCGCCGGCAATACGTAATGACCGCCCGAATTGACGAAGGAAATGAAACGTGCTACTTTACGAGGAATTAAAACGAACGACAGTTGGCATCGACATCGTAAGACCGCAACGAATACTGGCGATTGGCCGAGGGCTACACCAATCCGTTTCTCGGACAGACACGTCCGTCGTCAACTAATTTAATCGATGAATAGGAATACTCCGAAGTCGGAAGTATCCATCGGAAAGCGTTTAATAAACGTTCGCACATTTCGCCTTGACTCGTACTCGCATTCTCTGCCTTACCAACGAAATGTCCCTAAGAGGCACCGAGTCTCGGTACAGTTCGATTCGGACCAAATTATTCCATGCAATTAGAATTTCCATCGAATACCCGTGGATCGCGTTCCAGGTACCACGTGCTAGACCGCACTAACTACGAACATTAGTGCAATATAATACGCATTGGCAAACTTTCTAAGTTTTTTTTTTTTTTACGTCACGGTAAAAGCTTCATAAAGTCACGTTTCGACCGCAGATAAAGGATTACCGAGAGCTAAATATCAAGAGGATAACATTTACCGTTAAAATCAAGAGACACGTGGGAAATCCGTAGAATGCAAGTTGCTACCGACTCGCGTCCGTTTAGGAACATGTCGTCGGTTTTGTGTATGTACAGACGCACGCACCCACCCGCGCCCTCACACATGCTCGCACACACATACACGCACGCGCGCCCAGGCGACTCGATCGCGCTAAAAGAATCTCCGGCATTTAATTCGTCTAAGTGTACGTATCTACGTACATACACTTTCATGTAGGTGGGCACGCATGCCATTCTAAGCGCCATGTGTGTGTACTATATATATAGATATATATCTTCGTATATATATATATTTATATATATATATTCTTGTATTTATATATTTATATATTTATATATTTATATATATATATATATATGTGATTCTTTCGTACTTATGACAATTAATAGTATATTTTACATGCAAAAACAAAAATTGTATCACAGTGGGACAGCATACATTTGTTAATAATATTATATGTCGATAACTTCTGCTTTTTTTGTGTTTGTCTCACTTTTCCATGATTATACATCACACACGTCTACGCTTCCCTCCGAGTATCTCTCTTCTTCGCCTTGCAGCAAACGCATTGTCGGTCTACATGTTACGCGGTGCACTTGCCACTTTGTATCGCTATTCACACGATTCTTCTTATTTTTTTGTAGCATTTTTCGTTTTCTAATCTCTTCTTATTTTCGCCTTACCCTCTAATGAATCGTCATGTCCCGTATATCAATTTTGAATTTTTTTTGCACGACAAGTATTATGCAATATCATATACATACATCTCCCATCCGTCCTGTCCTGCGCATAATCATGCTCCTGATAAAGCGCGCGAAATGTCGCCAGCGGAAATTTTTCGCTTGGATATTAATGCTAAGCTTACGCGTCGTTTCCACTGGCCACTTTTTTTTTTTTTCACGCATGCATTACAGTTTGAGCTTGAAATTGAAAACTCCAGGCTGTGATAATACGGAATCGGAAGATTGTTACACTTTCTGCGTAAACATTTAGCAACCGGTCCGCCTTGTAATTGGTAACAATGTCCGCCGATCGGTTAGGTGCATCGAACAAACTGGCCACTATTGGCACACCTTTGGCGACAGTGTTACCAATCACTATTTACTGGTGTAACGCACAGGTATATCTGTAGTTTGATTACCAACGTCAAAAAGTCCGCACTCTTGCTACAAGGCTGTACTCCCTCTCTCCGTCTCGATTGCGCATTGTACATCAATTATCCTGCTAGTCCTATCTCTTTTTGTTTCATTATCACCGTTATCAATATTATCACCATTATCACCGTAATCACCGTCGTCTTATTCCCTGCGTTTTATATCTATCCAGAAAAATCGGCATGCTCCTGTTGTAGTCTCGTCGCTTACATTATATTAACTTTCTTCCATTTTAAACATCGTTATTTATACGCACATACGTCCCCCGTACACCGGAAATAGCGAATATTAGCAAGACAAAAGGAAAAGGAAATGACACCTTCGAGTGATACGATAGAATCTGATTTAACTTCTTGTGCTCAAAATGAACATGATTTCGAAAATATGTGGAAAAATAGGAAACACCCAAATTTCCCTTATGAAACGCTTTTCTGATAACTCTCGCTACTAACTTACCTGGGTAATTTGTTCACAACTAAAAAAACCGTAAGACCGTCACCGAAATGTGACAAATTTTGAAAGCAATAGTTATTATCTCTATTAAAAATCTCTATTTCACTGGTAATATGTTTTCAATATGTACAAACTCGTTATAAATGTCGATAATTATCCCATATATTCGTTTATATTTACAGATCATACCACTCGAAGAGTAAAACATCTCTGAGAAAAGAAATCGTTAAATTTTTCTGACGAACATTGTTTTACAACTCCATACATAGCCCGTGATATGACCGAAGTCTGAAACGTGTCTACAATTTTTCCTGTCAAACGCAGCAAAAAAAAAATATTGTATGGAGTCTTCGGCTATCGAAACAATCTACTTAACAGCAAAATACAGACAGATCCGTGAAACATTTTCAGTTTCAGTCATACTCATGTATGATTTAATGGACTAAGGCGCACGCGCGCATCGATATAAAGGTGATCACACCCCAGACGTACTTGTGCGTCCCCGGCGCACCAAGTTGAAAATGTCACGATACACTGTCAGTACGTAATGTAGACGTATGCCCATATGTTTCATATATGCGTTATAAATTATGATTAAAGTTGCATTCAAAGTAAGTAAAAATATAGTTATATACGTTCCTATACGTATATACATAGGTAATTATATATTTATATATATGTATTTATATATATATATACTGTTCTTTTTTTATTCATATTCACTTCACATATTCGACGCGCACGAATGTATATCCCTAGCTAAAACGATTATTGTTTCTTCTCACAAAGGACGACGAAGTGATCGTCGACGGATCCGAATGCTCTCTTCCACGAAGGATTTGGAACTGTTTTCATAAATTTTTCTGACGCTACGATTAACCAAAGGGAAAATCAAATACCAATTTGTTACCTCAGGACAGAGCGGCATAATTGGAAAAATAAAATTTGGAAATATCTGATTGTTTTAAAGAAAAAAAAAAAAACTTTTTTAAGGAACGTTACGAAAACCGCTGTACGCTGGGGTAACGTCGGTATAATGGTGTTAAATAATAGAATGTACTAAATATAATTTCTTTTACTTTTGACCAAATGTTTTATAATTACAAACCTTCCATTCCATTTGTATGGGCGGGTAATTGATTTACATGTTACGATTCCTAGTGAAACGCCCTATAAATTGTATATACATTTTTTAAAGATATTCCAAACCCCTCAGTTGCACTCAAATTTAAAGAAGTTCTCTTTTTCGAGAAACCGTTTTTTTTTTCCAATACGTACACTATTCTTTTCTCTAAAAGGATGGCCATGTTTCGACATTTACTGAGATCATTTTGTTCAATAGTTTGACAAAAAAAAATGAAATGAGCGCATACGACGACGAGAAACGAGCCAACAATGAAAACAGACAATATTGTAATTCCATTACTATATCAGTCAATTAATTAAATTACATCACTACTGTCGTGAATTTATCTAGATAGTTCTTCTTCTACCCAGTAACTGTATATTTAATGAATAATTACTTCCAAAGTGTAATAGATGCCCAACACCAGCAATGAAATTATAGGGTAATTAAGCAATTGCAAACGTAATGGAAGAATTACTTTTTAGACATTTCTGGCGAAAAAAGGACTTGCAGATCGTTTTTACACGTGCATAACCAGGACCACCAACCATGACATAACTGCGTTATAATTAAATGGGACAGTAACACAATTATGAATTGTGACCCTGTCGGAACTTCATATTATTTCGATTATATTGCTGGAAAAATTCTGTTTGAATAATAAAATAATTGTAATGCATGTTACACCATTATATACGACATGTTTAAAAAGAGGAAATAATGTTATAATTATAATAGTATATACCGAAGTTGGTCAACCTGGCCCATGTAACAAACGATCAACTTACCAAATTTGCATTAGTCTGAATCTAGGCAATAGGAAAAATAAAGAATGACGGAATCTGCGACGGAAATCAACACGTGCCCGTTATCATTCTGTCTTTCTCGTTTCATACATACAGACATACACGCATTCAAATGCATGCACACATTGCATGTATAAAAGATGCGGACGTAGCGTTACGTCACGTTATGTCATATTGTACGTAATTTACAATAGAGCCGGAAGGGATCTACACATAGCTCCTTCGTTTCTTAGCATCGTCACAATTGATTCATCCTCTTCTTTTAAGTATCACACACGAGTCCTTCACAAAATGATCATTTGAAGGACCTCGACAATTATATAAAGAAGAAATTTTAATTGAACAACTTTGGGTCGTTGCCGAAACGAATTCACGTTTGTTAACTCGTGAAAACGTGTCATAAAAAAGCCGACCCGAAGCTCCTTCATTAAGCGCAATTAGTTGATTATAAAGTAAAACTAACACGCTAGGGCACTTGATCGGTATATAAAAAAAACTAAGCTACCTAACTTACACTTACATCAAGTCGAAGCGCGACGACGATCGACCGTTTGGCGAACCTCACTTTGTGCCTTTATTTATTCACATTCAATCATTACTCAATCGTTCGCTGATCTTCCGGATATATTAAAATCCGCTCTAGCCGAAATATATTCATCTACAGGGAGAGAAACATCTAATCAGATCGATTTTTACACTGTTCCACAATATTCCAAAGTTCTGATCAGATGGATTTATAGTAATAATTGTTACAACTATCATATAATGTTCATAGTCAATCTTGTAAATGTTCCGAATAGCGTGGCGTAAAAAAAGCAATTATTATACACCACGAATATTTTTTTCATAGTACTCAATTAATTCTTTCATTCCTAAGATGAACGTAAAATTCTCTGAGCCGTTTTCGAGGAAAATCAAAGAATTCCGAATGATTGAAAAAAGGAATACGTTACCGTAGTTGTTTTACAAACCCTGACTTGAGTTTATCTGTTTAATTGAATTTTCCTTCTCGCAATTTCCTTCCGTTCACATCTAATGTGTTTCGTATAATCTTGGCAATACTTTCCTAAATATTTGTATGCTAAAGCATCAGAAGATTATTTTATATCTTTCTTACGGAAAAAATGGAGTGTTCACCCTTCGAAAATAATTACTTCTACCGGGCTTCACGTGTAGCTTCGCATTGCCTTCACATCCTTTATAATTACAATTGTTACAACTTGTCTACAAATCTTTTTCACTAGTTCACGAAATTTAACCCACTCGGAGCCATTTTTTTCTGAACGTGCTAAAATCCTGTCCATTATTGGCTTCGGGGGGGTTAAGAAAAGTTAACGCATCGGCAGCCTGTCGCCTGCCTACTGCAGGATAATCCAATTTTTTATTTTATAAATAAACTGAAATAACCTGGTTGCATTATCGGCTCACCAACGGTTTTCTTCAATTGTTAACGGATACGTTTATCTCAATCAGTTCTTTTGCGCGTACAAAGTATGCAGAACAATTCGAGCCATCCAATTTTTTTAATTTCTCAGCAAAGAGTGCATATAATTGCCATCGATTTTCTTCTCATCGCGACTGTATTCTTTCATGGCAATATCGTGTGTATAATACGTCAGCCTTTCGACCTTCTTCGTCATCCCATTGTATAACTCTATAGCCTTCTCGTTTCCCTGTTACCTTAAATTTCCTTGTCAATTTCTCTCTACCAAAATATAATTGCTCGCTTCAACAATGTCCTACATCTTCGTGTGACTTTCGCAGCAGGCATTGCAAATGGCGACAAATGTCAAATACCCATCGAACGTGGATTCGAAGAATCGATACATTCTTGCGTTTACCGACCGCTGCATAAACGCAAGATTTCTCGAACCCCGCATCCATAATAATTACTTCTACAAAAGTGCATGGTCGACAGGTGACATTGCAACGCTTTGCAATCGCTGCTTTTGAGATCTCTCGGCGACAAACCTAAACCTAAACCTGAGAGGTATCGACAAGATCACAAAGAAAACAGAGATCGGCTTTTTTGTCAACTGACACGAGCGATCTCGATCAAATTGTTAATGCTAATCTAGAACTACCTAATAGCACGAGGAATACCCATAAGACGTGGGAGTTCCGAATTTGCATCGATCGTAAAAAAAAAAACGAAAAAAGCATCAACGGGACTTAAGTGGAAATATGAAACATTTAATCATTCTATTTCCCTTTAAATGTTACCTCATGCCATATGCATTTATGTGACATGCACGTACAGTAGACACATAATTGTTATAAGTGTGTGTACACTGTTCATCAAAATATATTACACGTTCTAAATATTATTTCTCAAACATGTGCCTAAGAAATTGGTTTAAATGTTAAATGTCAAAGTACGGACATCGTTTCCGAAGTGCAAGCCATTCCGTATTACCGGTTCTCATGAATATATAGTTAATAACACTATAACTTAATTATTGTGGATTGGTACAATGAGTCATGACATTGTAAAACACCAATAAATCATGAGTACTTAGTAGCGTAAATTTAGCACTTCTATGATCAACCGCTGGGCGAACGACATTTAAATCTTTCTCAGCCACATATCAAGTTTTTCTTGAAGTTGAGCTCTGCCAACTGCAAATTGATTACAAATTTTTTAGAGCTCAATTTTATCGGCTGTTAGGTAGAATAGCAAAATACCTGCTATTGACACACGTCGCTAACACTTTATTTAACTTCGGGTAAATTTGAACGTTTCACATTTCCACTCCTTACATATGCCCGTGCGTAATCACAATGATTGCTGACCGTTCTCTACTGAAGTCGGTGAGCGAAATCTTCGATCTTCATTTCGTACCATCTACAAGAAAGAGTTTCCGAGTCAACAAAAATGATCAGCTGCGAACGCCAATCAGTTGATCGTCCTCGTTGATCTCTTAACCTGCCGATCGAACATGTTTAGAGGATCAAAATATTACAATAAACATTACTGATTAACGCGATCCTCCATTCTGCCGATCCAAAATCACAGACAAATCTACAAACTCGAGGTCGCGCACCTTCGGGCTGGCACAGAGCTTAAATTCTACGTATAAAAGTCCACCTCCGCTTCGGAAGGTCTTCGTTGTATATAATACACTTGGCGCAAGACTCTACCGAGTCTTTTACCCCTACAGGAAACACGGGCGGAGGGGAACAAAATTCCGGAGATGCTGCGAATGAGATGGAAATTTCTCGCATGGACATTTAGGGGAGAAAACTCCTCGTAATAGTAAAACTGATTTGACTCGACTGCTCTGGCAAGATCATCGTCCGAATCGACGGCTTTTCAGATACAAAAGTTGGACCGATCGCCCAAAAATCGTTTATGTCATTCTTAATCTTGGTTTTCCTACGGAAGAAAAAATCTCATGCTGGACATCAAACTTATTCGTCGAAACGACGACGTGCAACAGAACATATTAAGTTGGAAATGAGACGATTCGATAGACGGTTCTTTTTCGAAGATATACAAAAAAAGCTCTCATTTTCTACAAATTACTGAACATGAACCGATGAAGCATGGCTACGCCAACTTCCGTTTGACATTTGAATCGATCATCGGTGCATTGAATACGTACGCTGTGATTATTTATAAATTAATGTTTTAGGTCAAAGGCGACTTAAAAAAACGTCCAGTGAACTCCAGATAAACGACGTTAGCTGGATTTCCCTCAGAGAGATTTTCTTCATAATCGATACTGCCGCTACTACTGCTAGTACTATGTCGGAACTATAACTCTATCTCATAAATTCAGCAAGTAACAGTTGATTGGTATCATGAACCATTGGAACCTCATTTTCAACAAACATCAAAGCGAGGTTTAACTTCGAACTCGACTTCGTTGATTTTCGAATTCAAGATCAGTCGAATCAATTGCCCAGCAACCAGGACGTTCCAAAACTGCGACAAAAAATGCCGGCATTTTTTTTTTCCTATTTTTCTCGGAAACTGTTTTTAGTAAGGCGATCAAAACCTGGTCCCGCCTGCTGACAAATAGCCAACAATCGAATTTATTGAAACGTCCTAAAGAAGTGATTACGTATGTGCCCCGAAATGTTGATTTTCTAATGGTCTGGAAAGTGGACTTTGCAACATAATCTGGTTCGGGCTTTGCAGATGCATCTGCCTATGTTGGGCCTGCAACTTCGTTAAGGCGGAGGGAGATGCAAATGCAGGATAGGCTAAGGTCGTGTTTAAACTCTCGTTATGCTCCTCCAGGGAGTTCTGAGCGTAATGAAGCACCAAATGCTTCAAAGTCTTATGGATGTTATATGGTTCCGCGAAACCGTAACCGCGCTCCGTTGCATATATTATACAGTGATTCACGGTACCGTTGCACCTGCAAAATAAATCATCTCAGTCAACTTCTGAAATTTAATCGTTCAAAACGTAAAATATTTTAAAACCCGAAGGAGCGACTAGCACACATCGAATTGAATATTCTTTTATGTGCCCAAAGACAAAAAGAAGCTTACATTATTGAGAGGGCATATTGACCGCTGCTTGATCTCCTCACGAGGAAGGTCCCATCTGGACGACCTGCGAGCAACCGATCTGCATCCGGTCGAGATCCTTCGAGGAAGAGCCACGTCTCTTCGTCGCCGTGCACCTCCAAGTCAACCTCCTGCAGATCTCCGTACACCAAGTCTCCCACAACCGAGTTGGCAAACGAATGGTGCAGCACCAGCTGATTAATCTTGTTCTGGGTCATCCCGTTTTCCTTCAACCACCTGCGATTAAATTTTTCGTTAATATCTCGATTTACCTTTTTCAGCTCTATTGTAACCAAAGATGTTACTGATCAATATATTTTCAATACAATTATATTTTTTTTATTCTCTGTATCGATTTCTAATTGAATTCACGCAAAAAATCGTATCCACTGAATTTAAAATTGCAAATAATTCCATAGCATGCTATAAATTATTTTTAATTAACGTATAAAAACGTACAAGTAGTGCTTCTCCCGTTGGCGAACAAGTTGCGTAATCTCGGGCTTCAGCTTGTGCATTTCTCGCTCGAGGGTCCTGTTATATGCGATCTGCTGTTTCAAACTGTCATCAAGCTGCTCTCTGCTTTCTTCCAGGGACTTCAGTCTTCCTTTTAGAAGCTCTGCGTTATCCGTGAGACTATAAAAGAAAGATTTGCCCACAATGACTTCTACTAAATAAACGAAACATCTTAGAATATTTTAATTGTTACAAAAACCGAAAATACCCACGTGGATATTTCGTGCGGTTGAGCCTCCTTTTGGAATTTTTCCTGTAGTTTGATCTGATCCTCAAACATTTTGATAGCCTCGGAAAAAGCTTCCAGTGCTTGTCGTTTTAATTGCACCTCGTATGCTGTTCTGCTATACAATTCCGAACAATCCTGATATTGTCTCAAGGTGTCGGTCATCTCCTTATCCAACTCAACAAACTTCTGGACCACGTTCGCCATATCGGTTGTACTCGATATTTCATCTTCCTACAAATCATAGAATTAATTAATTCTTATTTACTAATATTTTTTTTGTTCGTCCTATGATGATAAAGTTTAATTAATTTTTGTTACCTGTTGAAATCTGGATATGGGGTAAAGCAGCTTGATATCCAAGGTGGAATTATATTGAGCGAGAGAACAATTTCGATAATAATCGACAAGTTCCACAACCGAATGGAAATTGTATGGTTCAGAAAACCCATATTTTCCGTTCCGATGGCAGATTTTAATGAGCTTATTTGTGCCGCCTTTTCGTAACGTCAACGTGTATTCGCCGTCTTTTTTCGACGATGCGTTTCGCACCAAAAACGTCCCATCGGGCGAGTCGATCATTTTTTCGTTGACTTCGTCCCTTTTAATGTCGCCCCAATACCATTCCGCCTCTTGCAGAGTACGCGGCCTGGACATCCAATAAGAAATTAATTATATATTTCTACATTGCACAATCTTTGGTATGCACGGTTCAAGGAAGATCTCGTTACTTTGTATTTCCATAACGATAAAGGACGTAGGCTCAAGAGGTCGGCTTAAAACGCTTACCTATGAAGTTGTTGCTGTTGTGCCTCTTTAGCACTCTCCGGTTGCGACAATCTATCGTTCGAAGAAAGGTCCTCTTCTATATTCGGAAAAGGGTCCAAAACTGGAAATTGTGGCCTGGAGACTTTTCTAGGAGGTAATTGAGGAGCACTTGCAAACTCGGGCAACCTTTCATTCCAATCGCCGTGAAGCAGCAACAACTCCATTATACGTATGTGCGCTTCAGTATTGTAGACAACTTGGCTGGAAAAAAAAAAGATCAAACCTAAATTTTTTCTCTTCGGACTTCCTTACAAGTAATGTTATCATTCCCGTACATGGCGACAACGCGATACAATATATAAATTCATTAAGTAGCAAAGATATAACAAACTTACATGATGCGGTCCCAAGGAGGCCTCAGAAATATATGGCAAATGACCTGCACAAGAATCGTCGGTGGTTCCGTGTAGCCTCTAGAATGTTGTAACTGGCATATACGACAAAAATGTGCCATCAGATGATAGAGAGTACTTTTGTGATGTGCAGGAAGATCAGTGACGAGTTGGTCAAGTAGAGTCGCGCATTGCTCGTCGCTCCGTAGACCTGAAACATAGTAAACGAGCAATCAAAAGGTGAAACAAATCATCTCGTCTGTCCATTAAATAAGGCGCGATTGCATAAAAAGGTTGTCTTCTACTCGAATTAAAATAAATTATTACACGGATGCCCTCACCTGATGCCTCCAAGTACTTATCGTAGCATTGCACCGGAATCACCGGATCTGGCAACTCTCTCAGGAACTTTTTTAGGACACTTGCGATGCATTGAGGACTGTATTGCGATAAATCCGCGTTACAGACATCTGAAATTATTACATTCTTATTGGAACGTGTTAACAATGGTTTCATTGAGATTCATAGAAATTCAACGGATCGATACAACTTGATCTTACCCTCGTTGAGCTTCTGTCGTAGTTCCACGGTTTGCTCGTTCGGAGGACTACTATGGTAAACTTTATACAGATCCAACTTCGGATCCGCATAAGCCCTTTCTTCTAGAGCCCTGGTACAACGTTCCACTAAAATTGGTGCAGAGCGGGTCGCAACGTCGAATTGCGAACAAAGTGCGAGACCAAACACTACGAAGGAATAACATGACACGTTACTGGCATTTCTCAAATGAAATATTAAAAATTCCCCTCAAAAAAAAAATACATAAAATATTCATCTGCTCATGATTATACAAGCAGGTAATGAAAATAATCTCGACAGGTATTTATCGAATGAATCATCTTGTCTCGAGGATAACAAAAAATGGCCACTGTACATAATTACGGTTGCAATTATCGGGAAGTAGAGGTTTTTAAATTCCTTCATAAGTGTGCACAAAGTATGTTGAGAAATTAAGGAGTGAATTTTCTTCTAGTTTTCAGAACTAATCCCCCTCTTCCTCTCTCTGGCGCGGGCGAGATCCTTTTTATCTTTCGCCATGAGGTCGAAATCCAGAATACGGAACGAATCACCGAATGCTCGGGACTTTTCCCCGCGAAAAGGTGGGCAAAAATAAAAAGGTAGTTCGGGGGACTTTCCGACATGCAGTTCCCACGAACACCTGTCCCCGGAGGTTCATCGCCTCGCGAGATGACGAGCGTAGGAACGCGACTCGATAAGCCGACGAATACGTGACCAGGAATACATTACGAGTACGCGGCCTCACATACTAATAGCGACTCGGACTCTACAGAAGTCCAAGTCGCTAAGTCACGAATCAAATAACTTATCCTCGGGAATAATAAAATCCTTAGATTTAACAGCTGACACACCCAACGAGGGGATGCGACTCCAATGCCGCGATATCGCGGCATCCTTCTATCGGGCACGTCTAGACAATTTTATTATCTTATTATTCCTCACCGTTATCTCTTCCCATTCTAGCAACAATTAATCGTTATCCTTGTACGCAGAAAAATGTGACCTTAAATTATACCAAACGGTGCAGAAGATGAGATTTTCCTTAACTTCACTAAGTTTTGCAAATTAATGGGAATAGGAATATATTAGTAGGAGTACGTGATTCCACACAATAATACCGACTTGACCCAGTCTCTGTCGAACATCGTTTAGGATAAATGAAATAACCTCCCGTGGAATAATAAATCCTATAACCAAAGCTGCGCCGAATAGCTCATAAAACTTTGAAAAAGTATTATTATAATCTTAGGACGATGTTATTATAAATTATGATCCCAGAACTGACATCACTTCGAGTTAGTATAACGTTTCATGTTGTTGGCCCACTTTCAGTAATTCGGCTTAATTAGTAGCGTCGTTAAATTTTAGTTAAAGACGTAGACAATGAATTTTCATAACTAATATGCAAGAACATAAGCCAGCTGGTCTATATGCTGGAGGCAATACTTTCGATTAAAATTGAATGCCTATTTCATTAATGAGAAAATGCAGATACAAAGTCACGCAGACAGAAAGCCTAAAAATTCTGTAATAACGATACAATTGAACGAATTTTCCTCCAATAGATAAGTACCATCACCGAAAGCAGTTAATTGAATTTTTATAAGATCCAGCGCGCAATATTTTAAAGCGAGACGTTTTCTAAAAGTAACGATAATAAGTAATATTAAAACACGTACCGACTCGGTCATTGAACAGGCTTAAGTATTGTAGTATTTTATTCCGTTCGTTCGCACGAGTCGAATGATAATAAGCTAAAATGATTAGTATTGTTTAATTATTGCCTCCGCATAAGATCGCAGCTGTTTAAGAATAAAAGAAATGCCCAATGTAAAAACTGTCATTTCTTTTCAGAGTGCATCGGAAAGATTCAGAGTTAAAGAAAACAGCTGGGCAAATGAACTTTGCAAACGTGAACGGGCGGAAATAAAGAAATGGCCAAAATAATCGTGTCATTTCTCTGAATACCCGGATAACGATATGCGCTTGCAAAGAAAATATCTGTTCATATGCGGCATATGCAAACGATTTCAGAAAGCACTTACGTGTGCATACGCATCGAAAGAAAGAGAAGAAACATCCTCACCGGATTCTTTATTGGCGGATATGTTCCATTCTCAGAGTCGATAATTTATGTTACTCCGTTGTAAGAAAAATGTTAGTATAGGCTCGGTTATTTCGCGTTTGAAGCAATAATTTGATTGCGCGACAGCAAGCGTATGCACTGTCCGATTTCCATCGAACACGAGGCACTGTATTACAAAGACAGAGAGAGAGAGGGACGAAGTGGTACCTTAATTCCGTGTACCGTGTTACTTACCCCGGCAAATACGTGCAAAAGAAAACCCAACGGCGAGGAAAGTTCCATTAAAAATGGACGAAATAAAATTGAAAAAAAAAATACCCACACGTACATCGGTGAATACCATAAAAAGAATGTCCTATTTACGTAATCATTTTTTTTAGATCGACCGGAGGCTATCAAACGCCGACAGGATACGGCCCTGTGGTCTGGCGCCGGGATGCTCCGGAAACGCAATCGCGACGACATCATCAGCTTGTGGAGCGAACAACCTTAATTAAACCCATCGTACAAGTATAACGAGTCTCCCGAATAGCATGGCACGCCGTGAAAAATGAGGAGAAAAAAAAGACTCGCCTCCTCACCTTGTCACCCTCGATTATTGCCCTTCTTTAACGAAGCGAAAACATCTCGAAAGTTTTTAACGTCGCGTTCTTAATTTCTAAGGGTTCCTCCGTTAACGGAATTAACGCTTTTCAGGCTCCGCCTAAGTGTCCCGATTACTTGAAAACGATATAATCCGGAGTATATGTGAAAAACGTTGGTATTAATGAAAAGTATAAAGGAGGAATACGTCGAAACCAAAGGTTCACCTGAACTGAAGCGGTTTGGTCGGCCTTCGGGGTCCGGATGACACGGCGGGTGCAAGCCCGTCGCTGAGCACATCCTGTGGGCAACCAGACCGCAATCTGCAGGCAAGAAGATGGCAAATCAGAAAAGAAAGAGCTCAATGCCGATTACGATCGATCGCGAATCGACGGATCGATCTAGGTTCTCGAGCCGCATCGATAGGGGGCGAGCTCGTTTTCTGCCTCTCCAAGGATATTAGACCGAACGCCGACCCGCGCGATACAACGTCTATCCGCTGCGCCTGGAATTCTACCGGACTCGGTTTCCCACATTTTCCCCGCCGGTTCTCCTCATTTTCTGTCATTTACATTAAGCTCCAAAATTGTACCCGTCCAATCAAATGGCAATTGAATTAACCAAGCAGTGCAGAGCCACGAATTGCCACTTGAACGGTTCAATTGGCCACTCGTGAGAGCATGGCGTAGTCTTTCACGACGAGCAAGAAAATGGCAATTACGCTCCATTTAGCGCAATTTTGCTCGTGAATCATGAAAGTTAATCGAACTTGGCAGGTTTAACCGATCCAATTCCATCGACTCGGTCGAATATTCTTCCGGATAGTAAATCCCTCGTCGCGGTTTTTTTTTTTTCTCTTTTCTTTCCTTGCCGATCCGGAGATGACATCGGCGAAGCGCGGCATAGAACATCGGTGATCGTTGCGCCGCGTACCTTGGCAGAGGAAGCCTTGATGTAAGAGGCCCCTGAGGTATTTATGGCACTTGTCGCACCTCTCCAAGACGCTGAAGCTGTGCGGCACGAGATTGTGCGGATTGTTGGGGGCGTTGGCGGGGGCGAGGGCGCTCGGCGAGGGCAGGCCGACGGCCCCCAAAGACGCTTCCGCCCCCGATAACGGGGGTGGCGACGTCGACGGCTGGCAGAGCTCCTTGATGCACTCCAAAATGTTGTCCTGGTGGAACTCATCCCTTATCCCCATGTTCTGCAAAACGTAAACGCACTTTTTAATCTCGAGTACAAGAGACGAACGAAATAATTGATAATGAATATTTTTTTTATAAACGGAACGGAGCGTCATGCAGAGTTTTGCGTAAAAATGGCGAATGCGCGAGAAAGGGGAATATAGGTCGTAAAGGGGAAAGTCCCCGTTCGGAGGATTTTCGGGCAGACGAACTTCCCTCGTTATTTCGCGAGTAACCCCCGTCGAAAGAGGGTCGCGACCGAATTCGATGCCCCATCTCGAACTTCCGCGTTTCGATAGAAAAATGGCGCCGCCGCGTCCGCCAAAATGGCGCAGGGCTTGCGCGGGGGCGGCGAATCGTCGGGAGATAAATAAGAAGCAGGGAAGAGGGAGAAAAAAAGAAATCGATTTCACGACGCGGACGCAGGCGCGATTTACGAGTCGATTAGTATGGTAATGGCGATTTACGTTCGAAAAAGCCTTGGCGCCGTGCATTTTTGTCGCGAGAAGCCCGCTCGCCTCATCTCGGCCATGTTCGGCCGGCCGAGCGAGGCCGAGAGGAGCCGAGCCGCTCCGAGGGAAACCAAACGGAGCCGAACGAGGCCGAAACCGGGCGTATCGGAGGGTAACGGTGATCGCAAGGATCTCCATGGATCGTAAAACTTTTATCGCGATATCTCTCGATCTCTCTCGGTCACGCCTCGAGCCGAGCCCGCGCGCGGGTTTACACTCGGCGAAATAGTCAAGGCTTATCGGCGGTGCCATTTTACCCTATAAATTATTACCTATTCCGTCATATTTTATTTTCCCCTCGAGATTTACATATCGTCATCTCGACGTCGTAATACGCGACATCGCCCGTATATCCTCCGCTCGGTTAACTCAAAATTAGCTTCAAGTCGTGTCCAAGTTACCGCATACGCAGGAAGCCCCTGCCTCCCCGGGACGCCGTTCCTCGTCGACTGGAAAACGATTTATCTCCTAACGGAATTAAATAAACAATTTAGCCGCCCGTCCGGTTCCCGCCCAATTTATTTTCCGTTTCTAACCGGACCCCGGCACTCGTAGGGAAAATCTCGCAATCGGGGAGATTCTCGAGATATTCCATGGAGCATCGAAAACACAGATTTCTATTGTCTCGGACTTCTCTCGTCTCTCGCCCTTTCTCTCATACAACGAACGAGGTGGAACCTCGTGGCGAGGTACAGTCATGCGCGCGCCGGTACACTCGCGTGCACTCGGAATGAACGAAGAACTCCTATTGGCTGCGACCAACTCGTTCGACCGGCGAGTGGAGGTGGACGTCGACCGCGAGGGGGTCATCGCCGACCCCGTTTCGGCGGCAACCTACGAAAGAACTTCGAGGGGTCGTGCTCTCTCTTTCTCTCTCCCTGTGCTTCGAGAAAATCTTTACGAACTCTAAAGTCACGACCTAACCCTTTTTCCGGATATTCCGTCTCCTCGACCGTTGCGTCCATCGAGAGCTCGCAACCGGAAGTAAGATCGCGGTCCACCCTTCGATTGAGCCAATAATCCCGCAAAAACGATAAAAAAAAAAATTGGTTCAAATTGCGTAGGCTACGACGATTTCTTCGACTGTATTGAAACGTTAAATAGCACGTGCCTACAATGAACGTATGGATGCATTAATTAATTAACGGTAATGAGAAGCGAGTAATTATACTTTTTAAAATATGCGAAATATATCCGCAATTATTCCACTAATCTCGGTAACGATATGTGGCACGGAAGAGAAAAATCATATCAGCGATTTTCTTTTCCTTTCGTTTTTTAATTGCTGGCCAATCTAATATTTATCCCATTAGTTAAGGATAGACCTTGGCCTCTTCCAACTCTTATCCGTAAATATTTCCTGGAAAATATTCCATCAAATGCCATGAGGAATCTTCGATGGACTAATGATTGCAGACAGAAGGAGTTCGACGTTTCACTAAATATAGCGATTGAATAAACCATTACGCATGATTCATTTGACCTGTGGCACGCGTGTGATGCATGCATTAACAAGAATCAATTCGATTCTATTTCAGTGCAGCCTTAAGTCTGGAAATCGAAACGACATGGAGGGATTTTATCATCTCTTGAATAATTTACTCGAACACCCGACTAATTAGCTGACTTAATAATTATTATTCAGCTGATGCTTCAAACAATCAACTAGTCAATTATCCAAGCAATTATTTACACGAGATTCGAGACGGGGTAAAAAAAATTATTCTAACCATTTCTCCGCCTTCGATGCGACATGCCACGAAAATATTAGCAAGTAATCCTCGAGACAACTTGCCGTATCACTGGTGTATTGTTTCGACAATTTCGAATTTCAAATTACAATGCAGATGGCTTTTTTTATATATGATTCATTAGGTTTACATTTTCCAATTTATCGACGGACCCTTCCGCGCCCAATCACCGAGTTCTTGTATTAATTTCATTCCACGCGGAACATTCCGTCCAGGTACTTTGGATAAATCGTATGATCTTCCTTACCATGAGCTTCTCTCGATCCAAGTGAGGTAGATCGCTGCCCTTGATGTCTTTGGACTTGAAAACGTCGGCATAGCGATACAAGTTCAGAGCTGACATCCATTCTACGACGTTCAAAGATGTCCATTCGCTAACAGGCTGTAAAAAAAGCAAGAATCCGTCAGTGCATCGACGTCGGTACGATTGCGCAACGAGAGGGGAAGTACGAAAAATAGATGAAATAAAAAAGACCGATAAGATATTTTCATATCTTCGATATTCGAGGAAATTCCTTTGGAAACGTCAACCCTTAATTATCCTCATATATACATTTCAACCCCGCGCCATGTACCGCGAATCTACGTGAATATTAATATCAGCACTTTTGGTATTTCAAGTAGGTATCCCGAATAGCTAATTTCACAGGCACGCGAAAGTAGGGTATAATATGGTAATGATAGTCGCGCTAGCCATTCCTTAAGCGATACATTAAATATGCGACCCCGTGCAAACACTTTTTTCTTTTTTTTCACCCGTAAAAATAACGGATCGAACGACGATTTCAAATCTCGTGACTTAGGTACGATTTCTCTCCTCGAACTATGCAGTAATCCTTCCACTCGTAAAAAACGATCCCAGAGCCGCGATTTCTCTTAATCCAAATTCCGGAATGTCGTAGACGATTTTATCACGTGCATAACTAACGAACCTCCGATTTCAACGAATGCAGGCTCCAAGGAGACGCCCAAAAATTGTCTACGCAAATTATTATTAATCTCAAAGCATAAGCTTTCTTATCGTGCTCGAAGGTAAATAAAATCGTCCGCGGAGTGTATCAGCGATAAAACATCGACCTTAACGCGAAAGATTAGCGTTAATGCCAACGTGACCGTCGTCGCACCATCCCGGTTGGTGGCATCAATTATAGCCACTAAGGAACAACTTTTGTTTTTTTATAGACCAGTTAATCTATCCTGACGACCAACGGTCGAAGGATTTCTTGCAAATTCGCGCGTCAACCGACAAGTTCTGGCGCCGATTTTCGCATTCCCGTTTCGCTCGCGGACAAATCGGTTAAAAAGAAAAAAAAAAAAAAAGAAGAAATTATCGTAACAAATAACAAACCTGAAAGTGACCAATCCATTTACGCGGTTCTTCGGAAAATCAATTAATGGAGCACTCCTCGACGTCCAGGGAGTTAAAAAAAAAAAAGAAGAAAAAAATACACTGGAGTTTTATCAAGGTTCGGACATCTCGCAAGAGGCCGCTAATCTCGTTCTCATGGAAATCAATTCCGCGCGGTAGGCGAGCCATTAGCATTGGATTTTAATCGAATAAAATCGATCGAATTAATTCGAAGCGGGGGAGAAATGGATTCCTTTACGCGAGCTCGTTATTTCGCGACGAGGAGACCTGGACGGCGAGTAGATAATGGCTTCCTCGTGGGTACTCATAATTTCCCAGGGAAGAATCAGGTTTTCTCGATGTCCCCGGCCCTCGAGACGGTCCCACCGAGGTTCGACAGGTGCTAGATAGATTACGTCCGATCGATTAGCACCGTCATCGAGCTCTCGCAATGGCGGAAGTTGGCCCTTGCCCCTCGGAGCGCGAGCCTCCAAACGGACCACCAAACGGGCCGCGGAAGACCCCGAGGAGATGCCAAGTGCAAAGGCAGAGATAAAGCAGGCAGTGTGCTCAAAGGAGTTATTTTCAGCGATTAACGCTATTTCGGAACGCTCGACGTGAAATTCCGGAGCACACCGCGGAGAGATGGTCTTTCCGTCCAGCATCCTTTTTTTCTCCCTCCGCCCGGTTTTTTACATTTTCGGTCGCGTGCCCGTTTCCTTTCCAATTTCCCATTTTGACTCTTTTCCAGGTCGTGGTCGCTTATTTCTCTGGCTCCTGGCAGAGAAGATTCACGGTTGGCCAGCACGTAAACGTTGCTCTCAAAAATACACGAGACCGCCCTGCGCAGAGTAATTAACCCATGGAGATTTGTCGGCCGTGTTATTATCGATTACCCGTGCGGTATCGGGATTATCGACCGCATCGTTCGTCGATTGGCATTAATTATTTATGGCGATGCAGCCACGACGGAGGCCCTCGCCAGGGTGTGAGTGGAATTCATCGAGTGTTCCGTCCAGGATACTTTAACGACGTTTTATAAATACTTTATTACAAAAAAAAAGAAAGTCAACTCGAAACGGCGCAGAAATGATTTCACGTTACGTCCGACCCTTCCGACGATTGTAGCGTTCTCTTTTTACTTCGAAACCCCTGCGGAATTGGCGAATGAATTTAAAAATAGATCCCGGTCTTCTTTTAGATCCAACCAAGCCCGTCGAGCCGACACCTGGCTGAACGGATTCTAAAGGACCCACTCTCGTGACCCTTTTGCAATTAACATTTGCAATAACGACGAACAGGTGCATTTTACCGATGCGAGAGGGGCTCGCGAACGCCGACGGGAAATCACGCGATCGTTCGATCGAAGTTCGAAGTGCCATAAGCGAACGGTGTGGCATGGCTTCGGCCGGATATGTCCTCTTTGCCTAAATGGGAAACGCAGGTAAAGTCGATTCCAATCGCGATAATTATATACGGTAATGTATTCGAGGAACGAGACGCCGGCAGAAACTACAGCGAGGGAATATCCAATGATTACGATGAGCAATAACCAATTTAATGGTGGATCGATTAACCGATTCGACCGTCCAAAATCGCACTTCGGGCGGTCTCGAGTACGTCGAGGTGCGCGTAGAAAATCACCCAAGGCTCTAGGTTTACGATCCCGAGGGGGGAATTTTTTATCGTATCCGAAGTTATCGCGAGGGGATACCGCGACGATTCGAAGATTGGCTTTCGAGGTTTACGGATCGATAAAATCTGCTAAAAGCGTGGGGCCAATACCTCAAAGGCAGTACAAGGAGAGAGAGAGCCGCGTCGAGGCTGGCTGGAATAGCGGAAAATAAATAGAGGAGAATCGGCAAAGTAGCTGGATATCTTTTTTCTTCTTTCTTTTCGAGCATCGAGAGGAAGGTAGAACAGGGGAAAGGGACTTTCGATCTCGGAAACGGAAAGCGCCGACACGTGCGTGCATCCACACGCTCGCGGGGCCGCGTGACTCGTGAGATATCAGCTGATTGTGACAGCCCGGGCTTTACGACTCAACCGGAGTAATTCCGCCAAGAGTTATAGCGGATGGTACCGCGATGTCCCGAGGACGGGCTTTCCTCTTTTACGGATCGACAAGATCTCCTGAAATGACGGATCCATAAAACGTCTGCGAGAGGAGACTCGGCGCATAATCGGAGAAAAAGGTTCGCAGCGACCGACTCGAGGACTGGCGGAAAGGAAATAGGGGGAAAAAAAAAAAGAATAAGACGAGAAGGCTCGACGGTATCGTTGGCACGAGTCGGCGAGATAACGAAACGCTTAAACGCCTAGAAGATCGCTCCGATCCCAGACCCCGCGTTCGTTAACCTGGCTAATTTAGATAAGCTTAGACATCGAAGCTACCGCGAGCCTAGACAATTATCGGCCACTCGTGGGGTATCAGCCGATAACGACGAAGCCTCGAGCTCCAGAAGGAAAAATTCACCCGCGGTGACCCCTGCGACGTCCAAACGATAAACTTTCGACATTTTCGGATAGACTTGGTCCGTCAAAAGCGCGGCCGAGAGAGAAAGCCGCGTGGCTTATCACGGCGCCGCGTTATCCGAGGCTAAGCCAGGACCGAAACGCCATTTTCCCCAAGAGAACCTAGGGTGTTCCTATTTCGTCCCACCCCGTAAGCTCATGGGTTTCGAAATTTCCCTCCCCGACCCCCACAGTCTCCCGCGTACCTCGTGCTTCCGTTTCCCAAATAGCATTTTTTTTTTAATTTTAATTTACCGTTTCGCTTCGTCTTCCAAAATGTGACTCGACCCACGTTGGGCAAACTCGACGACGAGCACCGATCGACCGGTCGTCGAGGCGAAGCCATCCCGATTCCGAACCCGGGAGGTCAGCTGGCGACCCGGAGGGTCTCGACCGGTCGGTAAAACAGATCGCAGCTCGTCCACGTCCTTTCCCCTCGCACGGCCGATCGACCCAGGGGAAATGGGACAGCTGGGACGATCCGTATCGCTCCGAGTATCGGGTTGCCTTCGGATGTGCGCCTCGCCGAGCCGCGCTTCGGCGATGCTCCGGAAAAACGAGTTACGACGCTCTCCGTCTCCCTTTTCAAATATTTTTACATCGGTATCTCCTCGTGACCTTAATCGCGTTCCGAATGATCGTTTCCGCCCTTTCAGGCGATTTGAGGCGACCCTTCATATCAAGATCTTCCCGTCATCCTGCGACCACCACCGGTGGTGGTCTACATCTACATTTTCAGGCTGCCATTTTTTTCTCCTCTATTTCTCCTTCCCCGCGAAAAAGTGCATCGCAAACGCATGGGAACCCGAGCGTTGCACCAGTGAAACGAAACTCCTACTACGCCTTCGGAATTTTTTCACGGCGTAAATCCGGGCATCCTCGAAAATTCGCTCCCGGTGAAATTCGTCGTTCAAAGGGACCAAAACGGTCAAGAGTCGTTAATAGTCCGATTTGGAAATTTATACGCGCGGAAAGGTTACGGAAAAACTCGACGGAAGGAGGTGCTCGGATGGCGCGGGGGAAGCGAGCAAGAGTTCGCCCGGGCTTTTTTAAAGGAGGTTTCTTTTCCGAGTTCGGCGACGAAAAGCAGGAGGAGGTCTTTCGAGAGGTGGACGTCGTTCGTCGAGGGAGCCAGAGAAGGAGCCGTGCCTCCGCGGCTCGATCGCCGTGACCGATTGCACGGCCCTCGTGAGAAAGGCTCGTTAATGATATCCGAAGATCGCTGGTGTGACGTTTGCGCCCTCGTTGCATCGCGGCGGCCGGTTAAAAATATCGATACGCTGTATTTGCGATTATTCTACAAGCGAGATGCTATCTCGAAGCCGCGCTCCGCCAACCGCGAGGTAGCGAGAGAAAGAACCGCGAAGGGAGAGAGAAAACGATCCGAGTATAACGTTGCAAAGAGTACCAGAGGCCGATAATTATATGTTCCAACTAGAACATCGGATACCCGAGGTCAGTAATTATTAACCATAATTTGAATGTCAAATACTAAAGGGGGAAAAAAAAAAATGAAGGAGAGTAAACGAAAGCCGGAGAGAGGGCGCGCCTAAAAAAAAATCACCAAATGGTGATTTCGCCTCGCGGAAGGTCGAATTTTCAATTTCGAGGATTTTCGACGTCTTCGAATTTTCTTTCCTATGGGGTAATAAGGTAAAGACTCGTTTCGTAGGCGAGGTGCCGAAGGAGGTTAACCAGAGAAACGTCTTCCACCGGGGGAGATTTCGAAAGTCCGTTGCCTGGACGGGATGCACACCAACCGTTGGCACGCCCGGAGCATTTTCACGGACGAAACGTCGTCGAAAGTACGGCTCTCGTATGAATAGTATATTAAATTGCACGGAATGAAATGAAATTCCCCTCTGGACGGTGCCTTCTCTCGCTAACCTCCCGCGCGCACGTATCGCGATTCGCGTATCGCAACGCATGCGCGGTAGTGGACGAGTTTTTGCCGCAAAGCGTCCGGAGAGCCGCGAAAGTGCGCCATTAAATTCGGCGATGTAAACCCCCATAGGAATTTACGTGGCGAGAGGTGCCCCGTTAATCTCGACTCGACCCCGCGACCCCTTTCCCACGTGCGCGACGATACGAATTACTCGGGTCAAAATGTTTTTAAAAATTGCATTTAAACGGGGAATGAAGTTCCAATAAACTGGCGAAACTTTTCCTGTCGCTCGATAATTTTGAAATTCGTAGGATGCGGAAACGTATCCTTCGACGGGTCGGCGCGTCGTAAGTGCCGATCGCCCGGAATCGAAATTAAGCACCGCGGGATACCAAAGGCCAAACGGCGCGGTGACGAAATACCAAATTAAGTACCATGCAAAAACCGAGGAGATACATAATCGCGAAGCGAAGTGCAAGATAAGCATAGCGAAAGATAGGCGAGATTCCATGTAAAACGATGCGACGAGGCGCGGATCGGGTCTCGATTAGAAACGTTAAAATTCCATTAAAACTCGAGATCCCGATAAGAGCGCGCGCGTTTCGGAGCGAGCCAATCTTTCCCCGGATAAATTCCTCCGACGTTTAGTCTGCCCCGACGTAATCCAAACAACGTTTCCAAAGAGGCGCGCAGAAAATATCGAATCCCCGATTCCGATTCCGATTCCGTCGAGGATCTCACCTGACCGGCGCCTCGCCTTCTACTCCGCGTAAACCGCGTCCTCGCCGATCGGGCACCCAAATCTCGATTGATCAGGGGACGAGTAATCAACCGCCGCGACAAGACTTGCCAGGAACGATGAGAAATTCCTGGCAACTCGTCGGACATATTTCCAAATTTTTTTTTTTTTTTTTTTTAGCAACACGGAAGGGAATAAAACTCTATAAAATATCCTTCAGCAATATTTGTTTTTCTTTACCACGGGCTTCGAAGGGCATCGAAAGGAAACGTTCGGGGATACGAATAAAAATAAAAATGAAGGTTCTCGATATTCTCGGGAACTCCGGTCCACGTCCCGGAGACCTCTAGGGACGGAAGCTAGGGATCCAGCCCCGAGGAACGGAAACGAGAGTCGATACCGACCTTGTCCTTGTCGTAGACCTGTCTCTGCGGAGCGTGACCCTTGGCGGTCCATTGGCAGGCCCGCTGTCCGGCGTACTCCGCGCAGACGAGATGGAAGCACGCGTGGCATTCTGTGGGACATAGAGAGCCGCACATACAGCAACACGGACTGCCGACGGGCGCGTCGTTCGAGGCGGGCTTGGCGGGCTCGGGCGCGGCCCTGCCGCTCCCGGCGACCTTGGGCTGCACCTGCGCGCCCGGGCACCAGCACATGTGCCGGTGGAAGGAGAGGGGCCGGGCGCAGCACGCGGCGACGTCGACGGCGGCCTCGGGCTCGCGGGGCGGGCTGGCGGGCGCGACCCCGCGCGGCCGCGCCGCCGGCGGGCCGGCCGGGCCGGCCGGGCCGGCCGAGCCGGTCGAGCCGCCCGCGGCGCTCTTCCTCAGCATGTAATTGTCCGAATCGACCGCCAGGAGGCGCGACATGGCGGGCGAGATCTTGGCGTTGGTCCTCTTCCCCGAGGGCGCCTCCTCCTCGCGGCCCTCGGGCGCGGGCTGGGCCGGGAGGGCGCCCTCGACGCGGCCCTCCCGGGACTCGGCCGCGGGGGCCGCCATCTACTCGCGGGTCGGCCGCGACGCCGGTCCTTCCGCGGCGCGGCCTTCGCGCATGCCGCGACCTCGAAACTCCGGCCGGCCCCTGCCGTGGACCGGCTACGACCTCTACGAACGCGGAATTGCCGGAGCCGAACCAAACCGGTTTCCAGCCTCGGGTGCGTACATTTTCGAGCGGGACGACTCCGACTCCCTCTCTCTCTCTCTCTCCCTGCGTCCCGGGTTCGCGAGACTCGGCTCGCCCGGGTCCCGGAGGCGGCCGGAGGACGCCGAGCCCGAAGGGACCGGGAAGATGCGGCTCGTGAAAGGCGAACGAGTCGTCCAGAAGTCTCGATCGATAAGCACCCGAGACTCCGCAGGGGTTCTCAAAGTCCGAGGGTTACGGTAAAGGCACCTTTTTTTCTAGCTTTCGGACGGAATGCGGAACCGGTCCCCGCCGGGCCTGGAGACCCGGCTGCCGAGAGCTCCTCCGGGACGCGTCGACTCTTCCTCGCCGAGGGGACGATCTCGACCTTCCGCCCGGGGAAGAGCCGAGGGCGAATTCCACGTTCCGACGCACTCGCGGGGTCCCGGGACGGGACCTCGACGACGGCTCCGAGAGGTTCCTCCCGATCGTCCGCCACCTCGGCGAGGAGGGACCGGCGTCTCTCGACTCGCCGTCCCTCGTCTTTCGCGTCTCCTGGACGAAGGATCCTCCTGGGTCTCGGATCTTCCCGGAAGGGAATCGCCGGGGGTCCTTCTCTCGCTCCTACGCCCGCGGGTCGCCGTCTTCCGTTCCTCTCTCTCGTTCCCTCGCACCTTCCCGGCCGGTTTCTCCTTTCGCCGTATCCATCTCCTCTCCCGCTGCCGGCGCGATCGCACTGCCTTACCGACCGGTTCCGGCCTCGCCTCTCCCCGGAGAAGGCCCCCGGGTCTCGACCGGTCCACTCGCGCCGCGCTTTCTCCGGTTTCCCTGGCGAGGTCTCCTCCCCCGCCCACCCGCCACTGGCCTGCCTCGGATCACTGCGCGCACATCACTGCCGGTCCCGAAACTCCCGCGACTCGTCTCGCGGCCGGTCGAGGGGTCCACGTCGCGATCCGGTCTGTCCGGCCGGGAGGGGTCGCGCCCAGAGCCCAGAGCGGAGTAACGCGAGAGCCGAGAGCCGAGAGGCGAGCCGCGAGACGGCCGCGAGTCGAACGGAACGGAACGGAGTCACGCACGGTCGGCTCGGCGCACAGCTGACCGGCCGGTCCGCCAGGTTCGGTCAATAGCCATAGCGAGCCCGAGCCCGAGCCCGAGACCCGACGAGCCGCCCTCGGCCCTTTCCGCCCGCGGTCGGTCGTCTCCGTGGCCTTTGCGGCGCAACCTCGGATACCCCGAGGGCGCCCGAGGAGCCCCGCCGGACACTTTTTCCCGAGCGCCGGAAATGTGGACGGTGGATTTCGAGCCGGAGCGAGGGAGTTTTAGATTTTAGAATTTTTTCCGATCGCGAAGCCACGGTCGGTTGAACGTTTCGATCGATCGAAATTTTGGGGAGGTCGTTTTCTTCGAGGTCGATGAGGATTTTGGGCTCGCCGTTTCCTCTCCCGCGAGATCTGCCAACCTTGGGCTCCGTTTCGTTCGAGAAAAATTTCCCCGTCGGCTCGAAAGAGTGGGAGAGCTTTCCGTTGAGAGGGCAATTTTTAAGTTTTTACTCTCTCCGATGACTCGTTCGAAGATTGAAATTGCTTTCGAGAACGTTTATTCCTCTCGCGGAAATATAGGAGAACTTTTCCAGACCCCTGGAGGGTTACCGTATCTCGAAACTTTTTTAATTCCCGAAAAACGGAAACCTCCCTCGATGGGCAAATTTTCCCCGGAAACCGCGTCGAAGCTCGTCACGAATTTGCCCCTTTCGTAAAAAGAAGTTCCTCCTTGTAAACTTTTCCTCTTTCGCTCGGTCCTCGTTTTACGAATCGGACGAAAAAAAATTCGTGGCCGATTATTTTCCATTTTTCTTATTTGCCTTCCGACGTTTCTCTCCCCGCTTATCGACGCTTATTCCATTCTCGTCGCCGTTTCCATCCCGAAAATGACGATCCAAATGAAATATTAACATAAAGGTCGGATGGGCACCTCTTCCAAAAACGGCTATCGTTCCTTCCAACCCGAGGACCTTCGCCGTCCTCCTCCTCGTCCCGGCCATCGTTATTTAGCTAAAACCAGTCTTCTCCTTTCCCCTTTCTCGACGCGATATTAAATAAAATCCCGATAAATCTCATCCAAGGCGTCGCGATCACCGATCGGTCCCAAAAAAAAGGAAAAATCGGGGAGAAAATAACCTCGCCCCGATCCGTGTAAAAGCGTGAGATTTTTCTCCTGCATTTTTAGCTCCACTCCGATGTGGGGTACAAACTTTCCCGGATCTCCTCTTCGGCATCTTTTTTCCCGTGGATGGATTTTCGGTCGATTCCGATTATATATCCGCGTTCGAGGGGAATATTCGGTTTCTAGACGAAACCCCGTTCGGTCGGCCTGCGGCCCTGCGCGACGACACCCAAAGGGTTAGGAAGAAAGGGACGTGAAAGTGAAAACCGACTTTCCAGGGTAGGCGGTGGGGGCGGAAGGGAGGCCGAGAGCCGGAGCCGAACCCGAAGCCGAGGAGCGATCGAAGCGCGAGCTGCGCCTGCGCAACCCACCCGACCACCGAGTCCTGCTCAAGGTCGCAATGCCGGCTGTGGACGTCGCGACGCCCCGACCTTGTCGATCTTTCCGTTGCATAACGTTGCATCCACGTCGAGTTAAATTCTGCCCTTCCGCGGCGATAGCTCGGACAAATTTCTCCCTTGATCGACGAAGCTTCGGCCGCCATTTTTTTCCCGACGAAAAGAAACACCGTCGCATCAGACATTCCGAATTTTCCCAATTTTCCCAATTTTCCTCTCCTTCCATCGGAGGCACTTGGGTTCTGATTTTCTTGTCGCGGTTCCTCGGTCTGGGACGTTTGCCCAAAACTTTTCCCTCGCTAAATTCCATTCTCTTGTCCATCGGGTATTTAGATTGCGGTACCTAAAAATAAATCTCGAAGGAGCTCGCTCCGGTACGAAAACATGGAGTTTCATTTCTCCGTGCCGCGCAGGGGTAAGTTAAATTTCCTTCGATCGGTAGGTCCAGCCCAAGGTCGCCCCGCCGTTTCATATATACGAGGCTTCGCGTACCCTCGCCTCACCTATGGTTCACAGCTCGAGTTACCATCGACTAGCTACACTTCCCGGAGACTATGCTACGATACTTCAAATTTCGTTCTCGTCGATCCGAAAGTCGAGGTCGGGAGAGCTTCGGCTGAGTTTCCTATAGCGCATTTAGCGTTCCGTATTTAATCCGTATTTAATAAAATCTTCATATTTCTTCTCCAATCGTCAGACCCCACGCAAGGTCGCATCGCTAGTTATAGGACTTTATCTCTGGCCTTGCTCACGGACTTCAACTCGGATTACCCTCGACTAGCTACTTAGTCGAAGCGTTAAGGTGAAGCACTCGATCGTGACGTACGCAAGATGCAGTAATTGGCACTCGACGAGAAAAGATGCAAGGCGTACGAGAAGAGAAAAATAATCCCTCTCCTCGTTTTTAAATTAGGAATCTCGCCCAAGTGCCGATCACTCTTTCTTAACCATGCCGTAAGAATAGGTACGAAAATCAAGGTCGGAATATACAACTCGAATGAATTGCGAGCACCTATATTTAATCCTTCTCTTTCCAGGTTTTTCCAGTTTTTCGCATCAGCGGAGGCGACTTCTTGGCTCGTTCGCTATGCGTAGACGATTATACCCAACGGAGTAACCTAGAAATGAGCGTTTCACCCACGACATGGAAGTAGGCACGTTGATATAAAAGTCGGTCGATATAAAACTCGCGGAGCAGGAGCTAAGCTTTCCTTCTGATTTTTCGAAAGGCCTATCACGCCCTGAAAAAAAAAAAAAGAAACAAACGATTGATTTCGCCGATAGGAAGTATCGGTATCGGGACGGTTCACCTTGTGCACCTTGCGCTCGGTGGCTCCCTTCTCCCTACCTGGCGAGGAACGCTATAGCAAGGTAGAATCAATGCAGCTACCGTATGCATCCCGGCCATTTCGGCGAAACGCCCCCGCGGGGCCAATTTTGACAGAGACGCCCGACGATAGGTATCCACGGAGTGATTCAAAATTCAGACAAATCATTCCATGAGATTGTACCTTGAAAACAAAAAAAAAACGGACAACTTCAAATCGAAGGATCCCAGCTGGAATGGGACCCGCGGAAAAGAGAAGAGCGAGGGGCTATTTAAAAAAATCGAGGCGACCTGGATTTTTCCAAGAAATAAAGCTGGACAGGAGGAAAAAAAATCCATCCGTCCAGTTAAACTCGTCCTTCGCCGGGTTACCCTTTTTACCGTGCCATTTGATTATATAATCAAAAACGAAAAAGCGTCCGAGGTGAACGAGGGAAACGCGATGAAAAAGATCCCGCAAAAAGGCATCGTTACGTTAAGGAATTCTCTTCTTGGGATCCCGTCGAATAA